CAAAACAATAATAATGATACTTTGGGCCGCAGTAATCTTTAGTTTAATAAATAAGCGCATTAGATTTGTAGGCTATCCTTGTTTCCAATCATTATGATTTTAAATACCTATTCATGTTTCCAAACACTAATTTTTTGTACTTCAGCTTTAATAGTATAGATAAAACCCACACCGCGACTACCCGGTTTAGGAAAACCGGACTAAATGTTACACCGCCAAGGTTTTTAATTTTTAGTAAAATAAAAATTGAGATTTACGGTTGCTATTTTTATCCGGTTACTGTGACACGCCTAGTGAAGCATTTTAACTAACATTCATAGGCCTACATTCACACGCATGTAGCATACAGGGCCGGATTTGGACACAGCCGATCGAAACATTCGCCTTGGCCCCCAAAATTTTTAGAAAAATTTAACCTATGAATAAGCCCCTAAACATTGACCTTAGCCCCCAAATTTTTTAGAATTCTTAAGAAATGTTTGAAGCCCCCAAAATCTCAGCTCCGGCCCTGGTAGCATATTCATGGTTTCATATGCCGTGAATAAATTTTGTTTTCCTCTGAAAAAAGAAAAGAATATTGGATTATTTTTTACAAAGTCATGCATATCTTGTCCTGGTTGTTGTGGAGTGCTCTGTTTGGCCTCCCTTGTGGTTGCTGCTAATGTTCCTTGCATTCTACGTCATGTGCTTATGGTTTTCGATTTACATATGCTATTTCACCATAATTTCTTCAAGAGATAGTAAAATCTTATGAGGAGATAGATGATCGATCGATATATTTGTACCCGAATCTTATTTCTTTGTCTAAAGATCTCAAAAACCAATAGTGCCAAAAACATTTTCAAACCACATAAGAAAAACATCTCATGAACAAGAAAAACTATAACTTTCAAGCCCAAACATCTCATGAATAAGCTTGGGTCCAAGAAACCCATAAACAATTCGTTGCACAAAACCGGCACACACCGATGACTTGGGATTTTAACCTAAACAAGCTACATAATTGACTTTCTTTTTATTCAACTTTACAATTCAAGGCCCGGAAATTTTCACTAAATATCATTTACACAATAACACCTAAAACAATTATAAATGATCATGGTCAGGTTTTTCAAATCTCTGTAGTATAAATACATAGATACAAACGAAAATTCAACAAAACGTTAATTGTACCGATGATAATACTTGTGTGGTGTTTTCATAAAAGCAAGTTAAAAAAAGAGATTTTAGTATAAAAGTGTGAATTTAACTAGGCAGGAAGTCAAGAAAACGAATCAAAGAGCATAATAGAAATATTAGACAAAAGTCGAAAACAGTAACAAAATGCAGAAACGGAAAATAATATCTTCAGTCATCGTCAGTCGGCGTGTTAATCGGTCTCGGTGTCTTCTTTCTCAAGAATTGATTTGGGACTCTTACCATCTTCGTCGTCCTCTGAGTCCGAACTCTCCACACCTCCGTCGTCCTCTACGTCGGAGAGAAGAGGAGCAGAACGCATATCGAGAAGAGATGGTTCAATATCATCAAGATTGCAGCGAAGTTTTGCAGTACCAAACAAGGGGATGTTCACAAGGCAGCACTCCTTGAGCTTCTAAAAGAGTCCACATCGTTTATAGCCTTTCTAAAGATCTAGGGCTGATCGTTCCAACCCAATTTTATATCTCATTCCATAATAGAGTTTCCTCTATAAATAGAATAATCTTATTTTTGTTTATTCATCACTCTGTAATGGAGTGAGAAACAATATAACGAAAACAGAAGTCTTTCAATTTTTATCTCAATCAAATAGATTACTATTACTGTGCTTTGTTAAGACAGAAATAAATCTCACTTTTTTTTTTTTGTTACATCTCACTTTTATAAGAATTCCAAAAATCATCATCATCATCATCTCCCTCATTTTCGTCGAATTGATCTCCACCGTCCGATTCCTTGACTCCAGCAACACCATCACCAGCTTGCTCATCAGACTTAGTCTGCTCCTCCTATACACACATTCGAAACGACAGCGTTTGAGGTTTAGCTACTTGTAAAGAAAAATTAATCTAACAGATTTTGGCGGCAACTAAAAGAAGAGTCCAACGGAATATAGCCGAATGCTTACATTATTCTCAGGAACATCAATAGTTGTCTCTGCCTCTTCTCCTTCCTTTGCAGACGCGGCTTCTTCCTTAATCACAGTATGATAACGAGTAAGATCTACAAGAAAAAAAAAAACAAAAAACTTGCTAAGTTCGTTCTTCCATGGCACAACCAAGAAACAAAAAATAAAGAAAGAGAGGATCTCTCTCTCACACACACCTTTGAAGGGAGTTGATAAAGCATCATTAAGCTTCAATGGATTCTTGCGTTCTTCCAACTTGTATTTCAGTTTGACCTGGTGTAGCGTTCTTTTCCCAACTTGTATTTCCAACAGCTCTTGCACCATCGATAGATTGATCCCAAACGCTTGAATTCCCTCGTAGAAGACCTGTGTTTCCTCTTTTGACCATCGACTTCTGGGAGTCTTTTTCATGTACGTTTGATAGTTAACCGGTGAGTCCGGTTTAACAGCTACGTCATCTTCTTCTTCTCCTTCCTCCATACCAAACTCGCCTTGTGCGTCAAAACCCTGTGAATAATAATACTGGTTATCCCAACATGTGTTTGTATTGCTGCACCATTAACACAAAGTCCGTTAGATAAAGAAAAAACCAGTGTTTTGAAAACCGGACCGGCCAGTAGCTGGTCCAATTTTCAAAACATTGACAAAAACAAACAACCTCTTTAGACATGAATGAATATAGTGGTAGTACCTTTCTTGGGTCGGCGGCACAACAGGAGCTCCCTTTGCTTCTTTCTTCTGTATGTTGAACGTCAAGGAAAAAAGCTTAGGATCCATGCCACACAGGTGAAACGAAAGTATAAATAAATAAAAAGAGTAACCTCCAGGGATTCTCTAAATGCAACAAGGCGAAGCATATCTCTAATATGCAGATGTTTGATCTTATCATCCGGGGTTTCAAGCAATTCCTTGTCCACTGAGCAGAAAAAGAACAATAGTTGGTGAGATGTTGGTGAGATGTTGGGTTTATGATAATTTCAGATGCTAGATGATAATTGAAAAGAATCATTATGTTCAGCTCTAAGTTACATGTTGTGTTTTTCTGCCGACGAATCGAATGCTTGAACTTCTTCTTCTCAGGAGACTTATTTGCTTCTTCTTCTTCTTCTTCATTAGTAGTGGCTTTCTTCTTTCGACCTCTCTTCTTTTTGTCAGTACGTGTTTGCGCTTCATTGGACTGAGTTTCTTCTTGTCCCATAACAGTATCGTTATTACTAGGTGAGGCATCTTGTTCCAGTACGTTAGAAGCCTGATCAAATATAAAAATCAGAACCAAATTTAAAAAAAAAAAACGCAAATATTCTTACCGATTCTTTATGAACTTGTGGAATATTATGTTCTTCTTCTTCTTCTTGATAAAATGCAGTATTGGTGCATTCATTGACCATACACTGAGACTGATTTGTATCATCAAGAGAGTAATGAGACCCAGCTTCTTCTTCTTCTTCTTCAATCACAGTGTCAAGCAATCTAGGCTTTGGCTGAAACTTTCCACTATGTTGCTCTACACAACCACAATTACTAGATATATATATATTAAAAGAGAATCAAATCAAATAATCAGTGCTGAAAAGATTACCATAAGCACTGGAGATGCCTTCCTCTTGCACAATATCAACAGTCTCCATGTTCCAATGGTAGAGATCCAATTAGCGCTGCTCTTATACTCTCTCAAGGGTTTCTGAGGTGGCAGTTATTTTAAAAGCCCATATGATGATGTTTTCGGTTTAACCGAGGCCCATATTAAAAAAAAACAACCCAGGCCCATATTATTCTTAGTAAATAAGCTCTCGCGTTGAAAGTTAAGTTAATGCAGTTAATATCATGAAGAAAATTAATATCGTTTATACTTTTAATAAATAAAAATATAAATCATCTATAAAATTAAAACAAATTAATTAGATACGTGACTAAATTAATAATGATGAGAGGATTATACAAAATCTACAAGTATAATTTAAAACTAAAAAAGTTATTGCGGTTAATAAATACAACGGCCACAAAATAAAAAAAAAAACAAATTTTAATTCTTTTGATTAGATGAATCATTCTTATGGTTATCAGACCAGTGATGCTGCTGATAATTTGTACTCCGGTTCCTCTAGCAGTTTCAGTCATCCTGAATCTCCCAGTTCTGTCGCTGCTGCTGCCACTGCTTCTGCCGGTAAGTCTCTCTTTAATTCTATAGAAACCATATAAGAAAAAAGGATCATCATGAATGAATGCATCAGACTATGCATGAGAGCAAAGACATATAGTAGATGTTTTTACAATTCATTCTGTGCCAAGGTAACGGTTAAAGCCACAAATTAATAGTACATGTATATATGTTTTTGTTACTATAGAGCCACATGATCAAAGTTATTTTGTATGTTACCATTTGGAGCCTAAATCTATTTGTTTTATTTTCTTGTTTCCTTATGCAAGAAACTCAAGTTAAGAAAGAAAAGAGAGGGAAGTTAAAGAGAGAGTTGCATTCAAGACACAGTCTGATGTTGAAGTGCTTGACGATGGGTTCAAGTATGGGAAGAAGATGGTGAAGAACAGCCCAAATCCTAGGTAGGCAACAACCATTTTCTAAAATTCAACCTTTATGAGATGAAAATGAAATGCACCATACCACTGGCTGACTGAAATGTTGTCCATGTTCATTTGCAGAAACTATTACAAATGTTCAGCTGATGGGTGTCCCGTGAAGAAAAGAGTTGAAAGAGATAGAGATGATCCTAGCTTTGTGATAACAACTTACGAGGGCTCTCACAATCACTCAAGCATGAACTAACCTTCTTAAAGAGTTCCAATGCTATTCAGAGTATTCACCTTAAGAATCTGTTTCTATGTTTATTATACTTAAAAACTGCTTCTAGTTCCTTATATATGGTGTAAACTGATTCACAGGTTAACAAATTTTGAGGGCTTTATGATATTCTGAATCTGTACTAGTACTTCTATAGCATCTTGTTTTGTTACAAATGAGAATCAGTGAAATATATAGTACTCTGCAACCTCATATCATTTCACAAACTAGCAATCTTGGTACATCAATGCAAATATAATATGAAAATTACCAAACCAACCCCAAGCCACTGATGAACTCTATGGCTTCTTACAAGCCGTGCATCAAGATAAGATATTGCATAATCCATGTACCAGGAATATAGAGCATCACATCTGAATCCAAACTTTTAAGTATCAAATCCGTATTTAGAGCTGGTTATGGTTGAAACAGAGAGAGCATCACATGTGGATAGTATGATGATTTTGAAAGTTGGGCTATGAATCCTGGGCTTGTGGCAAAGAAAGGAACAAAGAGGCTAAAACTCAAAAGTGAAATGGATACATATAAGACCAGACATGTACAGAGGGAGACAAAAATGGTTTAAAACAAAAAAAGACAAGTGAAACAAAGTCCTGTTATGTTCTATAAAAGCTTATGCATTGTACAGTTGTAGGGAATATTAATTAACTTTGGTCCACTGTTGAGTATGTCATTAACATCACCATCCTTGAACATGTTATTAGTTTGGCTATTTCTTTTTAAGACTAACGTGAAGACAGAAACAAGTGTTTTGTTTTCAGTCAAAAAAGCAAAATAAGACACAGGGATAAAGGAAGGGCGCTCATAGCCAAAGTTGCTTTCAAAAACAGACAGTTACTAAATGCTTTCCATGTGAGTTGAGTAAGCTGTCACTATCCAAACCTTAGAATCTGTCACATTTTTTTGTCCAAAAGACATAACAGATCATTCTGATTGATTTCCAAAAGTAGAAGAACAAGACATTATGTTGAATGCCAAACACACATGATGTTTCAAAGGCTAAATTGTTTTTTATGCACAAAGACACTAATGATTCAACAATGTTAAGACTCTCCAGCCAGTGGTTCTACTTCCCAGCTTTGAAGAAATGGCTTGTGTGAAGGAATATATAACTGCCAAGAAGTACAAACAAGAGAACTGAGAAAATGAAAAAAAAAATTGATCTAAAGTGTTGTTGTTGTTGTTGTTATAGGTACCTCCATCTTCTCCAGAAGTTCTTTTGCTGATGGGGCAGAAACAACGATATTACGAGAGCTTGGCTTAATAAAACCTTCTTCAACTCCAGTATCAAATAAAGCAAGGAGGTTGTTGTAGTAACCATCAACATTCAAAAGACCAACCTGCAGAAAATAATACAAAACTCATTATAATGTGTAAACAGTCTTTAACAAAAGGGGGAATGGTTTTCAAGTACCGTCTTCTTATGGATACCAAGCTGTGCCCATGTTATAATCTCCAGCAGTTCCTCCATTGTTCCATAACCTCCTAATGAATACAAGAAGCGATTATTTATATCACAAAACATGGAGAAACAAGAAAACATAAATAAACTTGAAATTAGGAAAAAAATCACCAGGGAGGGCAATGAAAGCCTCAGCTTCTTGTGCCATTGCAGCTTTGCGTTCATGCATGTCTGCAACCATTCTTACTTCTCCAGCAGTCTCACCAGATATCTGCTAAACCCATATCCACTCCACAAGTAACATAAACAAACTGAAGATATATACTAAAAAAATCAACTATACCTCAATAGGCATCAGAGCTTCTGGAATGATCCTACATTTTATAACAAATCATGCAGACAAAAAAAAATTCTTCTTAGATGGAGATTTGAAATTTGCATGCAAGGGGAATGAAGAAAGTTGAACTAACCCAAGTACATGACAACCACCTTCTGAGACTCTCCGAGATATCAGACCCATTAGTCCAAAACTTCCTCCACCATAAACCAAATCTATCTTTCTCTTCACCTACACAATTCACACCATTATCTAGAAGACAAGAAAGACATTTATATTTCTATTAAAAATCGACACACCGCATTCAGGCATTCTCAAGTAAAATTTGACTCTTGTTCCAAACAACAAAACTTTATTTAATCGAGTAACAAAAGTTTAAACACCAAATCTGAGCATTCAGACCAAACTCTAAACGACTTCAAAGCATATTAATTTGATATTTTAAAAATGGAGAAAAGAGAGCAAACCAGTTCATTGCCAAGTTCGATAGCAGCATGGCTGAAAACATCTCTGTGACCAGAGTTACCTCCGCAAAAAACACAAACTGTTTTGAAGCTCTGGTTTTTCTCCATTAGTGATCTATGCAAGAATAAGATACAACTGTTGCAGCAGCCGTTATAAAGGCAAATCGGGAAATAAGGAAGCAAAACACCAGAGTGACTAGGCGACAAAACGAAACCTCTCTTTGCATGCAATATCTAAATTATTTTAAAATGAATATACCTTTATTGATTTTTATTAAAATAAATATTGCAAATTTTATATGGTTCCATTTTGATAATAGGAAATTATTTATATGGTTCAATTTTGATAATAGGAAAAAAAAGTTTTTAAATTTTGTTTTTCTATCACTGCAAATATCTTTAAATTATAAAATACCTACTTTTAAGTTTCAAGAACTAGTCCATATTTAACTTTGATCATGTATTTGGATTATCATCAAAATAACTTTATTTTGGATTTTCAATTTAAACAGCAAGAAAACCCTTAGTTAATTTAACCGTGAATGGTGTATACAAAAATGGATGAAACAAAAATAAAGTATTTAATTCACTTTTCATCAATTTTTTTTTAAGTATTTAATTTTTTTGTGTGTATAATGATTAATCCATTTCATCAAGATAAATGATTAATTTTGTTTGATAATTGACTGAAAAAATCGACCTACACTTATCTCATTCCATAAATGTTGATTTTACTAACTTGTTAAAAAATGTTGAGTTTACTAACGAAACTGCTGCTCACACCTTTTTTTTTCCATTTCATGAAGACTATAAGTAGAAAGTCTTTCAGAAACATAAAAAAAATCTTAATATTTGATTGAGAAACTAAAGTCCCCTTGATTCCATTAACATAAAGAAGATTCCATACACCAGGAACAGAGAGCCATGACATCTGAATCCAAACCATAAATATTTCAAATTCCATATTCAGAGCTGGTTATGGTTGAAACAGAGAGAGCATCACATGTGAATAGTAAAACTAGTGAGGATTTTGAAAGTTGGACCTGATACAGTGGAAGTCAGTAAAGAAAGAAAGACTGGTTTGCAGAATCCATAGGCCTATAAATTCTTGGCTTGGGGCAAAGAAAGGAAAAAAGAGGCTAAAACTCCAAAGTGAAATGGATACATATAAGGCCAGACATTTACTAAGGGAGACAAAAATGGTAAAAAGACAAGTAAAACAAAGTCTTGTTCTGTTCTATAGAAGCTTATGCATTGTACAGTTGTTGTAGGGAATATACACTTTGGTACATTGTTGAGTATTTCAACATCATCACCATCTTTGAACATGTTTTATTAATTTGGATATTTCTATAAGACTAATGTGAAGACACAATAAGAGTATTTTATTTTCTGTAAAAGAAGCAAATAAAAGACAGAGAAGAAGGAAGGGCCCTCATAGGCAAGGTTTCCATGTGAGTTGAGTAAGCTGTCACTATCCAAACCTTAGAATCTGTCACAACTTATCTCCAAAGACATGACAGATCATTCTGATTTCCAAAAGAAGAAGAAGAAGACATTATGTATGATCCCAAAATCTGAATTAATAAATGGCTTTAACCGTACACCAAAAGCTTTTCTACTGTTGAATGCCAAACACACACATGCTGTTTCAAATGCTAAACAGATTGCTTCTTATGCACAGAGGCACAAATGATTTACCAATGTTAAGAATCTCCAGCTTTGGTGAGAAGCAAAGGCTTGTGTGAAGGAGTATATAGCTGCAAAAAATGTAGAAAAATAAAACTGAAACAACAAACCACAAGAGAAAATGATCTAAAGTGTTGTTGTTGTTGTTGTAGGTATGTACCTCCATCTTCTCTAGAAGTTCTTTAGCAGATGGAGCAGAAACAACAATATGACGAGCACCTGGCTTGATGAAACCTTCTTCAACTCCAGTGTCAAATAAAGCAAGGAGATTGTTGTAGTAACCATCAACATTCAAAAGACCAACCTGCAGAAAACAATACAAAACTCATTATAATGTGTAAACAGTCTTTAACAAAAGGGGGAATGGTTTTCAAGTACCGTCTTCTTATGGATACCAAGCTGTGCCCATGTTATAATCTCCAACAGTTCCTCCATTGTTCCATAACCTCCTGATGGAAAAAAGAAGCCATCTTCTTTTAAAACATGGAGAAACATATTTAAACTTGGTAGAGGTTTTTGAAATTAAAATAACTCACCAGGAAGAGCAATGAAAGCCTCAGCTTCTTGTGCCATTGCAGCTTTGCGCTCGTGCATGTCTGCAACAACTCTTACTTCTCCAGCCGTCTCACCAGATATCTGTTAAACCCACATTCACTCCACAAGTAAGTAACACACATCTTGAGAAGTTTCTACAGATTAAACCATACCTCAATAGGCATCAGAGCTTTGGGAATGATCCTGCCGACAAAAACAAACCTTTCTTAGATGGAGCTTTGAAGTTAAATGTAAGTGGAAGAGAGTGTTGAACTAACCCAAGTACATGACAACCACCTTCTGAGACTCTCCGAGATATCAAACCCATTAGCCCAAAACTTCCTCCACCATAAACCAAATCTATCTTTCTCTTCACCTATTACAATTCACACCAAGACTAAAAAAGACATTTCTATTTGACCAAAAAAAAAAAAGAAGACATTTCTATTGATAATAACATTCAGAACAACAGCTGTTTCAGCGCCAACACCAGAAACACTAAAGATAAACAAATTGGATTCAGATAAAGGTTAAACACATAATCTAGACATTCAGACCAAACTATAAACGACTTCAAAGCAAATGCAAGAACACTTGGTAAGTTCTGTCAACTACAGAGAACATAAAGAGACAAAAAAAAAAAAAAAAAAACTCAAACCCATGTCTGAAAAATTAACAGGAAGAAGAAAAGTTCTGATTTTACGTTTATTTGCCATTAAAGTTCATATCTTTATCACCAAAAAAACTATACTTGATTAAATTAAAGATGGAAACAAACCAGTTCATTGCCAAGTTCGATAGCAGCATGACTGAAAACATCTCTGTGACCAGAGTTACTTCCGCAAAAAACACAAACTTTTCTGAATCTCTGGTTTTTCTCCATTTAATGAGCTCTGCAAGAGGATACAGCTTTTTTGCAGCAGCCGTTATAAAGGGAAGCAGACACACGAGAGTGAACTAGGCGACAAAATAAAACATCACTTTAGATTGGTGTACTGTAATATTTTGGACGCAATACCCAAATTATTATTTTGAAAATGAAATACATTTATTGGCTTTTATAAAACAGATAAATAAAATTTATATGGTTTAACTGTGAAAATAAGAAAAAGAGTTTTAATTTTTTTTTTCTATCAGTGCAAATATCTTAAAATTATAAAATACCGTTTTTAAGTTTGAAGGATTAGTCCCCATATTTTAACTTAGGAATGTACTTGGATTACTGTAAGATAATTTTGTTTTGGATTTTTGAGTGACAATGGACCTTGAACTGTTGTAAAAATTATAAATTCATGGGTCGTTCAAAAAACAGCAAGAAAGCTCATAATTCATTTGGCTGTGAATGGTGTTTATAAAAGAATGGATGAATTAAAATGAATAAAATAAGATAAATATGATATAGGAAAATTAAAATAAATTTACTTCATTCACTCTAGCATCAATTTTTTATAATTTATTTTCTATAGAATAGATAGAAAGATTAAAATCTATTTCATTCAATGTAAATGATAAATGTGTTGTGGAATTGAGTGAATATATCTATCTACATTATTTCATTCCATAAACGTTGTTTTTAAAAAAAAACTGCTGCTCATAGTTAATTTTTTCTCTAATTCATGTAGACTATAATTAGGAAGAATTTTAGTAACAGAAACAAATCATATTACTTGATTGAGAAACTAAAGTTCCTTTATTCCATTAATCCTATGACATTACTATAAATCATATATACAAAACTCTAGTCCTGCCCCTCTTCTTTTAGCTCCAATTAATGTTTAGATTGGTAAGGACATATACCAAGTAACTATCTCCACTTATAAACATTAATCTTTAATAGCAGCAACCACACACACACACACACACAAAGAAACGTATAAAAGAGTAACACTGTTTTGATTATTAATAAGTTACTGAACAAAAAAAAAAACAGTTCTTATACAAACGAGTTACGAATCAGAGACTAGTCTAATTAAAAAAAATAAACGGAAGCAACAGTTTATATAAACTGTTGTATTAAGACATAACTGAAAAGCTGATGAAGATGAATCCCAAAACCATAGTTACAAACCTCCTTCTCTTACTCCTACAAATCTCCAACTTCTCCACCGTTGTCTTCTCTTTCCAGCAGGTCTATAGGAAACCTTATAAATCAGAGTTTAGCATACGACCAAGCACTGTCACAAGTATCATCGTAGTCAACGAACTATACGGTGTAAAGAAAGGAAACGCTGGCTTTGTATGCGCTCACGGTCCCAAGGTTTGGCGTAAAAGCAAACCGGGAGACCGGTACGTTGTAATAGAGTTCAAAGACACTGGTATTACAAGGTATAAATTCCTACATTGCCATCTCCGGTCGAGTCTCGGGTATGTCAATGTTCCCATCAGTATTCATCCCGACACTTCCGCCATGTGTTACCCTACTTATACCTGCCATTACATTATTAGAGAAGATGGAGTTTATTACAAGCCTGAGAAGAAACTCTTCCCATGGCTGCCGTTTCCACGCTCAAAGAGTGGACGACATCCCAAGGCTTAACTGATTTATGGATATTAATTGATGATATGTTTTTGTAAGTTTGTAACTTATAATGACGCATAAACTTTGGTGATCTATTAAAAAAGTCTCCACTCAAAATAAATAAATTAATCCTATTATACACTACAATGTTCCACAATGATAGACTTTTATGTTTTCTAATTTCTATATATTTTCTATTATCTAATAATAATAATAATTTACATTTTAAATAATTAATTGACTTTATTAAGTTATTATTTATCTTCATTGAAAACTAACAATCGTAGAAATTAATGCATTTACAATATAAATTTAATGTGATTTTATATGTATGTAAATAAATAAATAAATAAAATTATACTAGAACTGAAGGAGTATTAAATTGGTAACTGACTGAGATATCATATAACTGACCACTAACCACAAGGGATAATGTTTCATGGCAAAGAATGGGATTTTAAAGATAGGTATCCAAGGCTTATACCAGGGACATATCTTGAAGCTAAGTGGAAACCTTGGCCAGGACGCAGCAGTGGCGACCGTGGGGACCAGAGAAGCCAACGTCGCTCTGGAGGCCCGGTCCAGAGGGCAGGAAATAGAAGCAGTTGTTTAGGGCATATGAGTTCTTTTTTCAAATTTTTACATTACGAAATTTTATTATTGGGATATTTTCTATATAGACCTATAATCTTGGACAAAATTTTTAATGTTTGGCCCGGCCTTGAGTCCGGAGTTTCACAATGATTTAATGCTTATAAGACTAAACTATCAAATGACTATAAATCATTGGGGTTTCAGGTGTAAGAGCTATATTAATTTTTAAGGAATTTTTGTTTTTTTTAGTGTGTTTTGTTTTCGAATTAAATTCACGCTAGAAATAATTAAAAAAAAAAAAAATACAAATGTGAGTATGCTTTACCATTTTTTTTATCTCTATATATGTTTTTCTTTTCCCTTGAATATCATTTCTTAGATTGAAGTGGCTAATTGATCCTTATTCGTAATTAATACATTGAAAGGGTGGAAACAAATTTGAACCATATCCAAAAATGATCCAAACCTATGGTTTTGTGATACCTGATAATGTTCGGCTTATGATAACATTGTATGCAATTAAACACTTCCACAAACATTTCGGTAAATTACAAATAGAAACGTATATACAAAAAAACAATTATAATGATAACATCTAAGATGCTGGTTTCACTTGAAATAAAATATATGATTATAACATGTTATTGTAAACAGAACCACCAGTTGAGACATGTTAGGTTATTATCCACAATTTACTTTCATACCTGACCATGTAATATTAGGATAACCAAGGGTAAAAGGTTCATTTAATTAATGATTTCAATCAAAATTTTGTCAAAAAAAGATGTCAATCAAAATGACATCAGACTGTTTTGCTAAACGTAAAATATAGATACACCTACTTAAATAAAGGGGACTGATAGTTAGATAGTTTTGTCTTTTTATATAATGATTTATCACTTTCAGTGTTAAGATTTCTAGATTTCCCCTAATAGATTTTTTTTGTAACACCATTCCCGTAATTGCTAAATTTTTAACGTCTGCCGGTATGCTATAGGGCAACTATACAGACATGTGTAGGAAACTGTACGCATCATGGAAAAATATTGTTAGAAATAACGATAATGTTGTTTTCTTTTTATTGTATGGTGCAACAAATCAATTGGCATCACTAATTACTACATCGTTTGCGCTAACATCGGCATTATTATCCTAAATATAGACAAGTTTTAGAAATTGGTTATATACCTCGTTAGTCGGTAGAAAACTAACTTACATCCATAAACTTTTCGTTTTTCTTCTGTAAATATATAAAACCAAAAGAAAATGTAAAGTGCTATCAAGAAAGAAAATCAATAAGGAGTTCAGAATAAAAGAGAAAATGTTCGAAGTAAATGATGTTGCGAAGAGAGTTATAGCTTGGTGCCTTGTGTTGCAAGCCATCATAATTCAAGGAGACTCAGTTGAAAGTGGAGATGTGAGTTTCTCTATACAGTTGAAAAACGAAATGTACGGCTTAAAACGTCCAACGGTTGTCTACCGATGCAAGTCGTCTGAAAAATCTCTGCGGTGGCACCAGTCGTATATGAAAACGGAGTTTACGTGGGATTTTCAAGTCCCACCATTTGGAAACGGCGTCGTTATTCACCAGTGCCACTTCCTGTCGAGCCAAGGGACAGCTGATGTCATTATCAAGACGTTGTCAATGACATCGATCTTGTGCGGAGGGCATGTGTGTAAATATGTTATTAGGCCGAACGGTATATATTTCGTTGGTTATGAGACGTATTATCCGCACAATATTTTCTTAAGATTTGTGGAGTTGGTAAGGCCTGTTAACAAGCTTGTTGAGCCATGGAAGGCGTGGTCACCGCGGCAGCTAAAGGAGTTACAAGCGGAACGTAACCGCACCAGGTTAGTGGATGACGAAGATGATGCTAAGGAAGACATTGAAGAACACGATTAGGTGGTATAGAACATATCATTTCTACTAAATAGCAAAAGTTAAAAAAAAAAAAAAAAACGAAATTCTCTATATACTTTAACATGATTTGGAAACGCTTAGTTGCGTTTTATGTATTTGGCATATTTTTTTATTCGTCTGGTCTGCATGTGAATTTGTTTTTTTTTTTTTTTTCTCTTTTTCCTAGATTTGAATTTGTTTAAGTTAATGAGTTTGTGTTAAGGAAATATCCCACGTGGATGTAGGAGAACGGCTTGTTCCTCCCCTTGACCCACAGATATAGTGTTACACTTCTAAATAGTAATTTATCTAGAACCGTAAACAAAAATCAGTGAGCATTAAAGGAAGAACAAAAACAAAATTACACATATGAGGACTAAACTCCCGGGTTGGTATAAGAGGTTTGTGAACAAATGATGGTCTTTCCACGACGACCTTGGATGGCCTGAAAACTGGCCAGATCATCACAAGGAGTGGTCCTTCGCCATGTCGCTATCCCACACCTTCTTCCACACAGGATATGGACGTGTGGACAAGCAACTAGTTGCATAGTGAGAGATGAAAGAGCAGTGTATATGGACATGGACAAATGCACATAGGTGGTTAAGAAAGACGGACTTTACTTGAGACATTGGAATACCATATTTTTAGTAACAAGTACGGTATCGAGAGGTGGAATGAATATGTTCAAAATGATGTCCTCTAGAAAGTGTGGCGCTATTTAGATAATTTGGCTATGTTGATCAGTTACGAAGATTCTAACAATAGTATGATTTCGTCTCTATATGTTGTTATTCATGTTAATAAAACAAACAATGTGTAACTTTATAAACGGTGAAAGTGGGAAAGAACTTATCTATGATGATGTCTTGTTACATATTATATAAAAAATTATAACTGGTTATACAATATCAATCATTAATAATGGAAAATAGAATAGCAGATTGAGAGAAGATCACAAATCTTTCAAGTGAACATAGTTTGTGCAGGCCATTGCGCGGTCGCCAATTTTACGAATTTAAGCAAGCCATTGCCCAGTCTTCTGTGGAACTTATAAAAACATATTTATTAATTATACTTTTATGTGACTAATACAATGAACAAAATGACATGACATCTAATCTATTAATTCAAGGTCATGTTTTTTAGTCCTATTTTTTATCAACTATTGACAAGTCATTTGGACCACTAATGAATAACATAACAAATGAACATAAATCTACTCTTATATCCTATATGATACCTTTCTAATAAAAAGCAATATAAATCCAAACAGTTATGTTTCTAATAAAAGCCAAACATTAAAATACATCTAATTTATTAAATTAGAATCATATTTTGATGTTATATTTAATTTATGGAATTAAAATACGGATTCATCTAAATTATTTTGATTTTATGAAATAACATATTTATTTATACATGTAATATTATAAATATGTTTAAATAATTTTATCAAAAACCAGTTGTACCAACTAAGATCAAATTAGTCACTAATCCCATTTCAATCCTCAATGTTTTTTTAAAAAAAAAACACATCTACGTGTAATAAACAACTCACTTTTATACAAATATCAATATAAATTATATATATTGATTGTAAGAAAATAATTAGCTTATTCAGCTAAATATGTAATATTTAAAGGAAATTGGAAAGTATGTTATTCCACTACATTTTCATAAGTAGATTTTGTGACTGTGATCTTAACTACAATTTGGTAAATCTTATATATTTAAAAAATAAATAGATTCATTTGAAAATAGATGTTTAGTTTACATAATCTTAGGTATATATATATATTGTAAAAATATCTATATAAGATTTTGAATCTATATATATATATATATATATAATATTTTTAGATCCCGTATTTGATTCGAAATAGAAAAGATATAAGTATCTAAAAATAGTAGAGCATATGATTTAAAAAATAATAGACTATGCAAACTATATAGTGATGAAGGTAGATTTAAAACTAAAGCAACAAAAAAATATTCACCCATATTTTAGTTACATTGTATATAATATTAAAGTTTTAATAATAAAATTAATTACATTATTATTAATTGAATTTTTGTAATAAAATTAAATACGCGTATTTAAATCTAGTTCACGTTAAACAGAACGTTCTAAACTTTTCAGCCTATGTGATAACAATCTGAAGAGGATGATAACGATTGTGGTCAAAGTTTTTAGAAAACAGCACATTTATTTTTCGACCTTCTGGAATTTGCTTTCTGTTTTATAACAAAAAATAGACGAAAATACCTTCTAGTACTTCTAAATATGGCAGGGGAAAGAGTAACGGTCTAGCTAGTTACATTTATATATTGGTCACACCTTCACCTGTTCCAACATTCAAGAAAACATAGCAAACGTTTAATCCCAATGGCAAGAAGCCAAGGCTTGTTGTTCTTCGTGGCGGTGGTTGTGGCCGTATCATTGTTACCGGTACCAACAATGGCGGGTCGTCTAGAGATAAGGAATGAGATCGAAGGGGTCGCTGTCCGGAAAGCGAAGCTGTCCATGAGATGCTGGTCGAACGAGGACGACCTAGGGTGGGACGTGCTAAAGCCATTGGAGTCACGGTTGTGGAAGTTCACGACCATGAACATGTGGCCGTTCCAGAGGACTGAGTTCCGGTGCCAGTTTCGAAGCGGGTTTGGAACAACGAGCCAAGAAGTGATGACTGTGTTCTCTGTCCGAAAAGGGTTTCGGAAGGAATGCGGATTCGAAGGAGATGAGTGCACTTGGGTAGCAAAGAGAGATGGTTTCTATCTGAGGAAGGCCAGAAGGGACAAGGATGATTTTAAGACCTTTGATGATATCCTCAAGAGCAAATGGGTTTGGAAATGGTGATTTTTTAAATATTTTTGTACAATTTCTTTTATCAACAACATTCATTATACGGTTAATACATCACGGGTACTAAAATTTACGAGACTTGAAATAATTATGGATTAAAAACTAAATGATCAATTTTTTTTTTGTAAACTCTATGCTTAAACAAAGTTTTGGTTGGTAGAAAAACTATTCCAAAAAACAATTCTAATCGATTATATATGGTTTACATAGGAAAATACTATACTTCTGGTTATAACCTTTTTTTTTATGTCAAGGAGAGATATCGAATGTAGGAAATGAAGAATTGGGTGGGTTTAAGGAACATGCATAGTGGTATTTCAAAAAAAAAAAAAAGGAACATGCATAGTCATAATCCTTGCTCATGTGTCCCATTGGAGGCCAAACTAATGAGACCTCTTTTAACTTTTTTTTTTTGGGTCAAAGAAACCTCTTTTAACTTAGTTATAATTCTTATGCATTCTCACACACAAAATATAAGCCTGAGGACTACTTTGATTTTCATTTTTTTTTTTTTCATTTCTTCTCTACATCAGGTTCAGTTTTAGTTTTGATCTCTTTAAAATATGGTTTGATATTACACGAGGGTTTCTGTTCTGTTGAATCCGTTAATTTGGTTTATCAAACGATGAGCTTATTATTAATTAAACGATATTCAACCTGTTTTTCTACTATCTTTGTAGTTTATACACACGATAACATAGACATACCACCCAGCTTACTTAAACAAACAGCATTTTTAAACAAAAACACCTTCCAGAAGCCAAAAAAAAAACTATAACATAAGTTGGAAGAAACAAAATCAAACCAATAAAAGATATCTCAGTAAATCAAGCTAGCCAAGCCTCGTTGTTTACATAAATTACATTTAAAAAAAAAATCATCTAACTGATGATTTTGATGAACTACCTTACTTTATTCCTGCCATGTTTGCTAGCTGGAAAAAAAAACAGCAAAAGTTATAGCTTGATTTTGATTTCACAGGTTAAGAAAATGCATTAGTAGTTTATTTGTATATAGTCTGAAAACAATTAGTGAGAAAATTAATCTTACGTGAGAGCATGGAGATGTGGGAGGTCTTTAAAACGTGCAATCTCTTCACTGTCGATACAAACATCCTAAAAAATATGGTAAACTATGTCATCAATTTGTCCAACGAATTGATAAAAACCGCCCCAAAATATATAAAAATCTTTTAAAATAGTATCATATGAAAACAAAGACTCTACTCTTTTTAGGAAACTAATTGTTTTATCTATATTATGTATCTACTTTTGTTTTATAGACTTTCAGAAATATTTTCAAGTAAGTTTGAGTTAAAAAAAAATAAGTAAAAATGTTTTTGACTTTAAATATAGTAAATATCGAGTTAATTTTGATTGATTCATCAACTTACTCCCAAGGAACATCTCCGACCAGAACTTTATCCCCTTCAGTGTCTTCGTAGACCAAAGTGTATTGTCTGTTTACATCAACCGAATCTTTCTTAGAGAAGAGTTGATCAACGGCATGTGAAAGCTGTTGGTAGTTGTTCAAAGCGGAGAGGTTGACTTTTCTTCCAATGGGAACTCCTTCCATATTGATCTTAACGTACAACTCTCTCTCTTTATCGCTCACTCTCTTCTTCATCTCATCTTTTGGCTGTGCCGTTAGGTTTCGCCGAAATGATCTCACCGGCGGCCATCCCACCACCGGAGCTGCCTCATTCCTGTTTTAGCCAAATCGTAATTACAATTCATAAACAAGTTTTTAATACATGAGCCAAAAATACACACTAGTATTCGAAAACTATGGGAAATAAATTTTCTTTCTATAAAGTGGGAAAATAATTAGTACTATTTATGATATAAGGTGGTCTCAAATCCATTTGATAAACAAGTTATCAGTTTATGACAAAATTATGAGAATGAAGTAAGAGAACCTGTTATTGAAAGCAAATGATGTTTGTTTGGTGAGGCTTCTTTGTTTAGATCCATTGATGTTGTTGTTGGATGTGAGTTGGTGACAGGGAGGAGCCAACCTGAGTTCCAGTCTCTGCTCTTCTTCCATTTCTAAGTTTGTGTTGTGTTTTGGTGTTGGGGAGTATTATATGGGTTGTTGGTTGGCAAGGAACTACAATCTCAGACCAACATTATCGGCAGCTCTTAGAGCATTTCTTAAGTGTTGGGGTCCCACATTTTTGTAAAACCGATGTCAAATGTCTCTTAATTAACAAACGTTTGTGGAGAGTTCTTAACAATAAGTGAATGTTTTTCGAACAAAAGAAATAAAAAAAAAATAAAACTTTGTGCCTAAGAACTTTTTCACGTCCTAGCGATAATGTTGGTCTCAGTGTTTATAAAAGTAGCCTTTTATTTTCTTATTAAGAAAATACATTTTTATTTTGCATAAATAGTTACCTCATAGAGATCTTACATGTATGAGAAGGAATGTCAAGATGCCTTGCATACATATTTTAATTTTATACTGATATATATATATATATATATATATATATATATGTAACCATATTTACATATCACGACTCATGAGACAAAGACATATATCATGCATATGGTTGTTACATCATGTGATCATCAAGATCGTCATCATCATCGGCTCCATAACCCCATTCTTAAAGCGTTTATGAAAAAAAAAGAAAAAAGAGTTTGGAGAATGAGGCCGACAAAAAAAGAAGGAAAGAGATTCCTAGGCATGCTTAAATGAGTACCTACCAAATAAAAGGAGAAAAGAAGTAGGTCTTCGTTTCTTTGTTTATTTTTATTTGATAAAAGTTTTTTTTTATAGTGTTTAAAAATAAGTTATTTTTATTTTCGACCAAAAAAGTTCTTTATATTTTCGACCAAAAAAGTTATTTATTTTATACCAAAATATATAATTTAAGAAATTGTATGTATATTTAGATTTTTACTACTGTTAACTCTCTTGATTTTTCACTAGAATTCAACTACTAACGTTTTTTTCTACTATCCTTTTTCAAATTACATAATTGATTGGTAAGGAAATATTACTAGCAAAAAGAAGGGAAAACAATCAACCCATTAAAATAAGAAAAATTGCACCATATAACCAAAAAACTTAAATTAAGAAAATAATCAAAACGCCCTTTTTTGTGTAAACAGGCATTCAAAACGCCCTTCTTTCCTTTTTTTTCCTTCTATCTATCTCTTCCTTTAGAAATTTAATTTTGATTTTTTTTTTGTTATGTCACCAATTCTCCCTTAAGATTATTTTTCTTTTTTGTTTCCATTATAATTATCTTAAATTAAAGCTTACGATAATGATACGGTAAGCAAGTGTATCTTTAGAAATATATCTACGCGGTTTTAAAGATCTTTCACCTTATATAATCTGAATATTAAACGGGTGAAAGGATAAACTAAACGAGCTAGTTAGGGATCCAAGTGTCATAGTACAATAGTAGTAATGAAGCAGAATGGCAAAATAAAGGAGAGTAAGTTTGGCTCAACCTAATCAAATTAGCCACATCCGATCATATATTAAGACTGCTATAAACTCATGTTAGCACTCATTTTGCGGCAGCTTTTTCCCATTGGCCATGATTTGAGAGTACTCATCTAGTTACAATAATTAGCTCAGTTGATTAATGAGATCATTACTATCATGACTAATCACTACAGTAATGATAAAACTTGTGTAGACGACCCACCGACTACGCTAGTGTATTGCCAGCAGATAGTCCCATTTTGTCTATGTCCAGTCCTGAATTATGTGATATTCCCTAAACATATTAAGAAGTATATGTGTGAAGCAATATATTTTGATAAATTCGTGAAGAAATGATGTATAACATATACCCGAATTAATTAGTATGACTATATATGATTTTCATGAAATTTCACAAATCTTTCGGGGTTTTTTTTCAGGTGAAAAAAAATTTAATCAGCTAGAGTTTATTAATATTTTAAATGGAATCAGTTTTAACATTTGATCAACTGACTATATATCATAGAACACCCAAGGAGAAAATATAGAAGGAAAGACAGAAATAATAATGAACATCTTGATACCAATGGTCGATACACATTTAGGCATACTTATCATTTTCTTAATGAACATTATCAGACAAAAAGGCTAAAGAACGATTATACACTTTAGATGTTCAATGAATGTATAGACCACTCGAACTAAAAGAAATCAAAGGCATCATCATTATCATGAATAACTAGGCCACTAATGGAGGGTCACCACTTGCAATTTTACTTTATATATTTCTTTCTTTAATTAAATTATCTTTTCTTTACATTTTGAGTTTTGATATACTGATGATGGATCGGATCCTTGACTTTGCAATGATTATAATTTCAGGCTCAAAATCACTTCAAATGTTCTCCTTTGACACTCTTTTTCGATTTATTATTTTCCTTTTTAATATACTTTTAGAATAATAGCATTCTAAGTAAAAATGGTGATTAGTAAGACTATATAATATGACGATGTTTTAACTTCCGTCCTAAGGATTTCCAAAACTAAATGATCAATCTAGAAACCTATTCAGAACCCTTTATAAGTCTCAATTATTTTAATATTTTGAGTAAGTAAATTATTTAAGTTTGAAAAATAAAACATAAAATGGTATTTCAGTTGAAATTTGATTATAATCTAAATTTCTATTAATTAAATTTAGTAAAATAATAACATAGAAAAATGTGCAATATTAGCAAACGACATTATCATTTCTACCATGTAGATTCCGGCCTTTTGTGTTAGCGGACAAACCTCCAAGCCTCACCAATTAGCAAGACGTTATCCAAGAGCAAGATTAATACTACCTAACAAAAAATTTGAACATTTCCCTAACCTAAGGCATGCAACAAAATAAGTCACGGATTATTTTACTAAGCATAAAAAGTATATCTCATTAGTTAACGATGAAACTAGAACTAAAAAAGGAACTAAAAACATGAGACAAAGTTGTCATATGGAAAAGCAGCAAAAAGTAAAAGAGAAAAGATGAGGAAACAAAATGGTGCAGAATAATCCTTAACAGAAGTCTGTAGACAGGGATACATTCAGAGCTCTCCCATCTTGACCAATGACCAGGTACTTAGCCTTAGGACAGGTTCCATGACAGTCCTACAACAACTAAAACAACATGAAAACATATTTTTGCAAAAGTAAGTATTTTGACATCATAATATACGTATGGAGACCTCTAAAACCTAACCGGGCTCTTAAGTTTCCGCTCCCAAAGTGGCTACAGCCTACAGTGTTAGGAGAGACCGTTCTGGTGGATACTTTATGGTGGAATTACTGAAAGTTAGGTATCTGACAATGCATCAGTTTTTTGAAACAGTTTTAAGGAATTTAATGCACTTACAAGCTGCTAGAAACATGTCATCACGAGGCCCATGAAAATGTAGTTATATTAAGAGTTTTAAGATGTTTCGATTTTAAGAGTTTAAAATATGAGTTGTTTTAGAAAAAAAAAAGAATTGAAAAGCTGGAGTTATTCAAAGATAAAAACAACTTATATTCGTAAAACTCTCCAAAGGTTTTACGGATATTGGACTGAGTTAACCCAACTGACATGCCTATTTATTTAAAGAAACAAAAATTGCGTGATCTCGTTATGAAAATACCATTTAAGTGGGAAAAAAGGATGCATTCAGCTGGATTTTGCTGAAAATAGATGGGAGAAAAATGTTTTTCTTTCTTCAAGTATCACGTCGTTTAATGCCAATGAATATGTGTGCGCAACTTGTTTCTCTTTTATTCAATTAAAGGACAAAGATATTTTTTTTTTGTGACAATTAAAGGACATAGAGAGCTTTTTTCTGTGTCACTGGTTCCATGCATACTTTTGAGCTTTGAGTCTTGACCTTTTTTAAACATAATATATACTTATTCATTTTATAATGTAATGTTTTCTTAATTATTAAATCAGCCGAGTTGGTTTTCGGGTTTGGAATATTCTTAGGATTAAGAATAATCTTTTGTTGAAAAAAAATTATCAAATAAATTATACAGTGGTTTGAACAAATAATAATAATAAAATACAGTATTTCAGTCTTGTATACATTTGGAGCGTTTATATAATTTTAAACTATATTTATTCTATAATAAGTCTCTATTCTTCTTCTATATGATTGTATTATCTTATTTTTTAATTATCAGATTTTTGAAAACGATATATGTCATTATCACATTAAGTTTATCATTGTTATCAGTATCATAAATTTGAGTAACTTCCAGTTGGAGCCTTAATTTAAACGATGAAAAAGGAAAGATTGCCAGTCTCTTATCAATACTAAATTACTAATAAACTTGCTATCAAAAAAAAAAAAAAACTAATAAACTTCATTTAACATTCGACCAAAAAAATACTAAAAATATAAACTTCATCTTTCCAGCTGACAAAAAGGAAAACTTTTAATTTCCTTTACCGTGTTGTCCAAGATATACATGTGAGGTTGGTCCTTTTTAGATCATTTAATAAAAGCTAAATTGTTCATGTTATTACTGGGAGACGAACACATAAAAATAAGTAGACAGGGAAACAGAACCCTCTAGACCATCCTCTTAACACTATAAATACGCATCATCATAACAAGTAACAAAACATACAAAAACTAGTTACAAGTGACTTTAAACACAACAAAAAAGGAAAACAGAACATCAAACGATCAACCCTTCCATGGCCCCCCTTAAACGCACTTGCTCGGATATATCACACCAGATATCTATAGACAACACTCTAAACAAAGAACCAACTCCAACGACAACAACTTTGTTGTCCTTGTCTGCGATATCCGAAGTGGAAGATGCAAAGTGTGAGTGTTGTGGCATGTCTGAAGAGTGCACCCCGGAGTATATAAACCGTGTGCGTTCAAAATTCTCAGGGAAGCTAATTTGCGGTTTGTGCGCAGAAGCTGTGGAGCAAGAGATGGAGAAGATGAACAATAGTAGTGAAGTACTAGTGGAGAAACGGCGAGAGGAGGCAGTACATGCACACATGAGCGCATGTTCCCGGTTTAATAGGCTAGGCCGGAGTTATCCGGCGTTGTACCAAGCAGAAGCTGTTAAGGAAATTCTGAAGAAGAGGTCTAACAAAATGGTCAGAGACACCAAGTCTGAAAAAGGTGGTCTCACTAGGAGCTCTAGCTGCATGCCTGCGTTGGCTAAGGAGCTAAAAGATCGTACGTTTGTTAATTAGTATGTATGTATGTATACTTACTTTTGCTTTTATGTTTTCTTTTGTAAAGCCGTTTACTTATATGTTGCTATGTTTATACAAAGTTACATGCAGAGAGAGAGGGATAAGGGTGTAAGTTAGTTATATGTAATGAAACAAGCTGATGGAAGTTTTGTGTGTAATTAATTTATTTTTCCCCTTGTGTAATGTATAATCAAAAGTTAATTTCTAACACATATATTTGTGAATAATTCATGTAATAAAAAAAGAGGGTCTAAACATCAAAGGATAAGAAAATCGAACATGACTTTAGGTTTGTGAAGTTTGTACATGCAAATAATTTTAAGGAAAATGATAAAGGCCTCGAGAGAATTTTTCCTCACCTAAGCACGGCTTTGGTTGAGCTCTTAAATGTCAACATAAAACTCTAGGATCCTTCAACTCCATAATTGAGTTTGAGTGCTTGGATGATAAGTGGTAACATAAGCCACAATAACCTTTCTCTAGAGCAGAGGCTTTGGGCTTTGCTTACTTTCAAAGAAGCATGAGCCATGAGGGGGTTCGTTGTAGGCTCAAACAATTTTATATTCTGTTGCACTACGAGTCTTTCGCTTTTGACACGTGAGGGGAAAGCCGAATGAAATATTGGCCTTGACATACAAAATATTTTGAAATAATTACATGTATATAGGTCCCCAAAAATTTTTTTTAGGCCCTAAATTCGTAAAAAAATGTTTTTAGATGAAATCGTTAAGAAATTGCCTTAGGCAGCATAATTCTCCGAGCCGGCCCTGTCCGTAACCATAACTTACTAGATATATAGGAAGATATAGGATCATTTTATTGTATAATAATTGAATGATGTAATATACAAAAGCGAGAGTCTGGTTCAAGAGATCACTGATGTAGTAAACTAGTGAAGAACTATAAAAAAAAAAAATCCCTTGTCTGATCCGTTGTCTCGAACGACGCTCGTGTAGGAGTTGGAGTAAGATTTGAAGCAGGGTCCCACAAAACTAGGGTCTTCTCTATACACGTTTCTGAAGTAAGCAGACACTCATGTGAAACTCTACTGTCGCTTCTCTCAAAACACTAACGCTTTGATTGCAAGCATTTGTAGAGGTAGTTTGTGACTTTGGAGGTTGGTTAATTAGAATTAAACACGTATATTCATTACATAAATAATCAAAACTTATCCCCAACTAATCTATTAATAATATCAATCTCAATTAATGTCAAAAATTATGAACCCCATCTAAGTAAAGATTATATCTTTCTATTGCAAAGAAAAATTAGATTTTAAAAATACCTAAGATATCTATTTGTAATGAAACTGTTTATTTTTTTGAAATAATACGTCTATTTAAATTTTATTTACTTTTATAAAGAGTTAATCTTTAAATAACAAAGGTATTTTTTTTTTTGAAATGATGTGTTTATTCAAATATATAATGTAAATATATCATTTAAAATAATTACCCATAGTTGGATAGTTGATAACTATTCATAAAAATAACTAATTCTAATTTGAAAAATTGTGACTATTCACTATCTTTAATTTGAGAATTGTGATTATTCATAAAATAACTATTTTTAACTTGAACAAATGTGACTATTGACTACCAATAATTTGAAAGTTATATCTATTCATTAAAATAAGTAACTTTAATTTGAAAAATTGTCATTGTTCATATAGAACTTTGAAAATCTATAAATAGTATATGTCCATGAGTTTCTCCAAGTAAAAATTTCACTAATCTAAAAAATAGTGAAGAATAAAAGTTCTTTCTAACAAAACTATATTTCTGATTATCTTTGTTCTATGAATACATAGTCCTATATTTCATACACTTTATATAAATAAAATAAATATGATACTTTTCTTTCAATGTATAGATGCACCAGCGCAGATATATGATGAAGATCAATGTTATTTCTTTTAAAAATGTTTCATCATCTTCTGAGATAACCTCAAAATCCACCAGATTTTCCAAGGTTCTGGACTAATCTCTAAGAATTTTTGAAAATTGCAAAACATATATTTCTTGCTATATACCTAATTAGATACCCATTACCAAATTATTGTGTTGAAAATTCTTAAAAATAATTTTGAAAATGTTTCGACCTCTCCCGAGAATAAGCTGCTTAATAATCATTTTGAAAATGTTTCGTCGTCTCCTGAGAATAATGTCAAAATCCACCAAATTTTCAAGATCGTGGGCTAACCCCTATGAAATTTTGAAAATTTCAAAAATGCATTCCTTGCTAGTTTATTTATTTAAAGACCAATTAATAAAATTATAGTATTGAAACTGCTTAGCAATCATCTTGAAAGTGTTTCATCATCTCATGAGGATTACGTCAAACTCCACCAAATTTTTTGAGGTAACCTCTATGAACTTTTAAAAATTTCAAAACATGTATTCCATACTGTTATATTATTTAAATAACCAATAACTTAATTATAGTTTTGAACTTTTTAACAATGGTTTTTAAAATATTTTGTCGTCTCCAGAGAATAACTTCAAAATGCACCAAAATTTTCGAGGTAGTGGACTAACACCACTATGAATTTTTAAAAATTTCAAAACATGTATTTCTTGGTAGTATACTTATTTAAAGGCCCATTAACCAAATTATAGTGTTGAAACTGCTTAACAATCATCTTGAAAATATTTCGTCGTCTCCTAAGGATAATGTCAAAATCCACCAAATTTTTCGAAGTCGTGGGCTAACCCCTATGAATTTTGAAATTTTTTAATTATGTATTTCTTGCTAATATACTTATGAAAAAACCCATTAACGAAATTATAGTGTTGAAACTGCTTGACAATCATTTTGAAAATTTTCGTTGACTCCTGAAAAATAACGTCAAAATCCATCAAATTTTTCAAGGTCGTGGGTTAACCCCTATGAATTTTTGAAAATTTCAAAACATGTATTCCTTATAAGCATACTTATTTAAAGACCCATTAACCCAATTGTAGTGTTGAAACTACTTAACAATTATTTTACAAAAATTTCATCGTCTCCAGAGGATAACATCAAAATCCACTAACTTTTTCGAGGTGGGGGGGGGGGGAAACACCCTCTGAATTTTTTAAAATTTTAAAACATGTATATTTTGCTAGTATACATATTTAAAGACTCATTAACCAAATTATTGTGTTTAAAATGCTTAATAATCGTTTTGAAAATGTTTGTCATCTCTTGTGATTAACATCAAATTCCTCCAAATTTTTCGAGGTTGTGGGTTAACCCCTACGAAGTTTTGAAAATTTCAAAATATGTATTCCTTGCTAGTATACTTATTTAAAGACCCATTAATCAAATTATAGTGTCGAAACTGCTTAATAATCATTTTGAAAATGTTTCATCCTCTCCTAAGATAACCTCAAAATCCACCAGATTTTTCAAGTCCTCTCATGAGAATAACATCATAATCCACCAAATTTTTAGAGTTCGTGGACTAACCCCTACGAATTTTTGAAAGTTTTAAAACATGTAATTTTTGCTAATTTACTTATTTAAAGACTCATTAACCAAATTATAGTGTTGAAGCTGCTTGACAATCATTTTGAGAATATTTCGTCGTCTCCTGAAATCAACATCAAAATCCACCAAATTTTTCAAGGTAGTGGACTAACCCCTATGAAATTTCAAAAATTTCAAAAATGAATTCCTTGCTAGTTTATTTATTTAAAGACCAGTTAACCAAATTATAGTATTGAAACTGATTACCAAGCGTTTTGAAAATGTTTCATCATCTCATGAGGATTACATCAAAGTCCACCAATTTTTTTGAGGTAAACACTATGAATTTTTGAAAATTTCAAAACATTTATTCCATGCTATTATATTTATTTAAATAACCAATAAGTAAATTATAGTTTTGAACTTTTTAACAATTGTTTTTAAAATGATTTGTCATCTGCTGCGAATAACTTCAAAATCCACCAAATTTATCAAGGTCGTGGACTAACCACTATGAATTTTGGAAAATTTCAAAACATGTATTTCTTGCTAGTATACTTATTTAAATACCCATTAACAAAATTATAGTCTTCAAATTGCTTAACAATCATCTTAAAAATATTTTTTCGTCTCTTAAGGATAATGTCAAAATCCACCAAATTTTTCAAACTCGTGGGCGTTACGTAAGAATTTTGAAAAATAAAATAAAATGTATTTCTTGCTAATGTACTTCTTCAAAATCCCATTAACGAAATTATAGTTTTGAAGCTGCTTGACAATCATTTTGAATTTTTTTCGTTTTCTCCGGAAAAATAACACCAAAATCCACCAATTTTTTTAAGGTCGTGGGTTAACCCCTATGTATTTTTGAATATTTCAAAATATGTATTCCTTGTTAGTGGAATACTTATTTAAAAACCCATTAACCCAATTATAGTGTTGAAACTGTTTAACAATCATTTTAAAAATATTTAGTCGTCTCCAGAGGATAACGTCAAAATCCACCAACATTTTCGAGGTCAGGGGTGACACCCTCTGAATTTTTAAAATTTTTAAAACATGTCTATTTTGCTAGTATAGATATTTAAGGAACAATTAACAAAATTATAGTGTTGAAAGTGCTTAACAATCATTTCCAAAATGTTTCGCCATCTCCTCAGGATAATGTCAAAATCCACCAAACTTTTCGAAGTCGTGGGCTTATCCATACGACTTTTTGATTTTCTTAAAAAAAATATTCCTTGCTATTATAAAGACCCATTAAACAAATTATTGTGTTTAAAATGATTAATAATCGTTTTAAAAATGTTTTCTCATCTCTTGTGATTAACGTCAAAATTCTCCAAATTTTTTGAGGTTGTGGGTTAACCACAATGAATATTTGAAAATTTCAAAATATGTATTCCTTGGTAGTATACTTATTTAAAGACCAATTAATCAAATTATAGTGTTGAAACTGTTTAATAATTATTTTGAAAATTTTTCATCATCTCTTGCGATAACCTAAAATTCCACCAGATTTTTCAAGGTCGGGGACTAGCCCTATGAATTTTGAAAATTGCAAAACATATATTCCTTGCTATTATACCTAATTAAATACCCATTACCCAAATTATTGTGTTGAATATTGTTAACAATCATTTTGATATTTAGTCCTCTCCTCAGAATCATATCAAAATCCACCAATTTTTTCAAGTTCGTGGACTAACCCCTACGAATTTTTGAAAATTTCAAAACATGTTTT